GCCATTTTGACATCCATAATATTAATATATATATAAATAATATATTATATTTATTATATAACTTATATTATATAAATATATAATATCTATATTAGAATATTACTAACACAATATACTAATATATTATTATTATCAATTTATTATATATTATAATTTATAAAATTTAATTTTTAAAAATATCATAAAATTTATATATATAATTATTTTAAATTATTCTATATTTTGAACAATAACGATTCAAACACGAACGAACGGATCACTATTCGTGTTTGATTCGTTTAACTAACGAAAAAATATTGTTCTCGTTCGTCTCGTTTATTTATCGAACGAATCGAACACAAACTCATTGATGCAACGAACTTTTTTTGAACCCCTAATCTTTGAGTAAAGACTTTTATGCACTGCTCATTTCATGGAAAAGGTTATTATTATACAATTTTTTATCATATTGCCCCGATTTGAAAAAAATAAATTTGGTGCGCACAAAATACAAAATAGATATAAATCAGTACAAATTTAAAAATATTTGACGACAATTATCTTCTCTATCCTAATCCTTATGGCATCTTAGGAATAATTCTGACACACATGCAGGGCATCAGTAGTTTCTCGACAGGTCTTGTAGGTACCGTAGAACCTCAACAACCTCGCCATCTTCCGAAGAGGAATCAGAGAGCTTACGGTGGGGCAGCCTCGCCGAGGGAGATCAGTCAGTAGGCGGCGCCGGAGTAATGGGGGAACTGGCCGCTGCGGTGACTCTGGAGAAGCAGCGACTCACAGCAGAGGGGGAGGAGGCGGCGGATGGGAAGAGCTCTCGGAACTTAGTGGTTGCGGTGCAGCCAAAGCCTAAGAAAGGACTGGTTTCGTCGGCGGTGGATTTTCTCGAGAGATTCATTGTCTATCTTATGCACGATTCCTCGAAGCCGCTCCTTTATCTCTCCGGTAATTTCGCTCCCGTCCGCGATGAAACCCCACCCTCCGCAGCCGTCTCAGTCCATGGATCCTTACCGGTGAGCTTTGAAATGGCTTCTAATTTTGATTTGATAAGCAGTAGTTGTCGTTTTGATACAGAGAGTTTTATTGCAGTAAATAGTAATATGGATTCAATTCCCCATAGTTTATTTGTTGAAAATCTTTTATTGTGATATTTTTTGTAAAACAAATGTTTCTCTTAAATTGTGTTGAGGACTTGGTTTAATGCGTTGGAGGTGGAGGACAGTCTTCTTATCAGATTAAATTTTTGAACTTTTTATTGGACTGTGTAGGTCGTTTTATCCCTATAAGTAGAGTAGAACCCTTTTGTAGAATTGCATTGCTTGCTTCCTCATACGGTTTTAAAACTAAGTGAATGTTTGGTGGGAAGCACAATTTAGTAGGTCATGTCCATATTGAGTATATTTTGAGAGGATTGAAACTTGTAATCATTTTGGTGTGGTAATTGTTAAATCTTCCTAAAATTTAATAATTTGTTTGATTATTTGTTCATATTTAAAATTTGTGAGAGGGAGAAATTCCTTTTAGTCCGTTAAATATCATAAATAGTGGAATTTAACAAAATTTGGGTTCAACTAATAATAGAGCTGAAATAGTACTTATCAAAACAATAGGAATTGAACTCCAGAAAAATCTACTTTGCTAGATTTAAGCTAAATCTTACTTAAATGCTGCCTAAAATATGATACAAATCATTCCCAAAGCTTATCGTGTTTTGCATGTAGTGTTGACTTTGTTAGATGGGTTGGATCATTAACATTTGGCATATTGAGAGCTTAAGTTTTTATGGAGTGCAATTTTAATTTTATCTCATCATCTAATATGAGTGATAGAGTTCTTTGTTTTCCCTGGCAAATGGAGTGCAATTTTAATTTTATCTCATCATTTAATATGAGTGATAGAGTTCTTTGTTTTCCCTGGCAGGTGTGCTTGAATGGTGAGTTTGTCAGAGTTGGCCCTAATCCCAAGCTTCCACCAGTTGCTGGATACCATTGGTGATTCCTTCGAACTCTATTATGAATTGATATTATTTCGAAATCTATTTTTCTTGGATAAGCATAAAATTTTTGTGCTTGATCTTGGAGTTTTTTAGCCAACCCCATGTAGTTGGGATGAGGATAATGATGATGTTTATTGAAATTCCTTCAATTATTGAATGCATGTTTGAAAGCCCAAATTCCCCTTTTAGTATGGCTCATCATGTGGGGTATGATTCACCAAAGCCCAAATATGCTACAGCTTTAGTTTAGCTCATCAAGCTAGGTCTATGTTGTTGCCAAAACCCAAATTAATAAAGATTCCGATTTAATTCTTCGAGTTGAGATCAATTCACAAAATAATAGCTTCATCAAACTTGGTTTTGGACCATGAAATCAATCAAGTTAGATTCAATTTCCGAAACCCAAATGATGTGGTGCCACAAATTTTATGCTTAGCTTATTAAACTTGGTCTAGGTCACAAAAATTAGAATGTTAGTTTCACTTTGGTAATGCTGAGCTTGGTTTGAGTCACTTAAACTCTAGTGCTTAGACATACTCAAGTTGAGTATGAAATTTTGAGTCAAATCTTGATTATAAAAACATAAAAAGCCGAAGAGACCTTATTCTACATCGAAAATTGCAAATATAAGATGGCTTGTCTCACAAATATTCCTTCTTGAGAGACATAGGTTTTGAAAAAATTCCGAGAAAAATCCTGGACAAAGGATACTTGCTTTAACACTAATAAAAACCTCATGTTTATAAAATTTAAGAGAGATTTACGACACTAGATGCTTTCTTCAATCTTATCCATAACCTAGATTAATAAAACCTCTAAATAAGTTTGGTACACAAAATGCCTGGTTCAATTATAATACATAACCGAGCTTGACAAAATGCCGGATAGGTCTTGGACGCTAGGTACCTAGTTCAATCTTATAACATAATTCATGTTGGGACCTCATCTACCTACTTCAATCTCAATAAGAAACCTATTCGAGGAAGACTTGGTTATTAAAGACCACATTTTTCAATAGACCCAATCTAGTTGCCGCCATCAGGCTCACCTTGATGTGTATGTTTCTTTGTCCGGTGATTTCATTTGCCATCTCAAGGATGGCAATATAAACTGCCTCCATTAGATTCTTTATGGCCTAACATTTCCATCACCAACAAGTCTCGATACCTTTATTAATGGATACATTGCTAGCTATACCTCTAATTGCTAAAAAATAAGAAGAAAAAAAGTCCGTTGGGGCAGGGGGCAGCTTCTTGAAGATCATGAATTAGCTCATTGGTATTGGCCAACTTTACCTGTTCTACACCTCTTGATGTTCGCTTAATTCCCAACAATGCTTTTGAAGTCTTCTTGACTCCTCTTTTTGGTTCTATTTCAGTAGTGATGAGCCAACATCTGTGCAAAGAACTGTGACACAGTGTATATATTCTAAAAAGAAGTGGGAATGCAAAAATTAATTTTTTTTTGGAATTTGAGATCTTTAAAGATTGAGCATCATTGTCTTTTTGAATTGATATGCTTATAAAGTTTAAAATAAGAGAAATTGTGATGCTTAACTTTTCCATGCATTTAAGGTCGTACACATGTTAGAGAATTGACATCCTTTGAATAAGTCATCTCCATGCATGTTGGATCAGCCAAACTTGGGCGTTCAGTTCAAGTCCAACTCCAACAATCTTACATGTCTCGTTGGCTAGCCACCTAAATTGATCTATCCATTAATCTGACCTTCACTAACTGGCACCCTTGAGTCTTATGTTGATTTCTCCGCCTGGCTCACCTTACTAAGCAGCTTTCACAGCTTTTGGCCAGCACCTGCAGCTTATGTCTGACATTCCAGCTTCTGTTCATCTTCTCCAATCAATACATTGTTGGCTCCTAAGCTGGCAACTTGTGTTTGCCGCCTTGTGGGACTATTCTCAATCGGCATCTCCATCTTCCG